CGCCAAAACATGTGAAAAGATCTATTATAAAAGAAGAATACACCTCATACACGTAATTCCCTAGGCTTACGCAGACGTCTGATGAGTAAAAAAGGATAAAGCTCTCGGCGTTGACCAATCCCTGAAGGATGCGCCCTGCATTCGACTTCAATTTCTAACTCGTTTGAGGTGACTGAATGCATATCTGGCCTTTACAATGACTCGCGGTGGCCTCCCGCTGAACCGAGTTAGTGCTGCTTATCCTCCCAGACAAGTCTGAGACCTGCCTGGTACCAATTTACCGACCCCGGAGAGATGGATGGCTTGGTGAGCCATGAGCGCGAGATCGAACCATGACCTCGTGTGCGACGCAGAGCACCTCTAACCACTGCGCTCTTGTTTGATGAGTATTGAAATAGAAACAGTGATAAAATTGAGAAAAGAGTGAAATTATTATGCCACGCTGAGGTGATAGATCTCGAAAATAGTGATCAATTAGCAGATTCCCGTTCTTCAGGATCTGTCCTGAGTAACCGAGACGCATAACATTGACTTTGAACAGCTAGAAATCTTTGTTCAACTCTTTAAGTAGTACAAGTCAATTCAAAGACTTCTGTAGTAAAAAATAGTTTTTGCTTTGATTTAGAAAATCGTTCGGACTCACTTATTCATATGCAGAGGATTGTCTAGAGCGGTGTAAGTAAGACCTGTTAATCTCATGTGAGCAAAATGTATGTGTTTCTTGCTGTGAAGCCCACTCCTCAGCAATGGCTTGAGCCAACGGCTCGGATTCCACCTAGAACAGTAGGATGTTATTTCAATTGTAACTAGTGCAAAAAATTCCTGATACTATGCCCCCTTTGATCTGCACCCGTCTCCTCCATCTCTACAAAGAAGGGCAATTTAGCACCTTACTGTCTGCTGATTTTAGGGATTTCTCTAATCGATTTTCTCCCATGACGTGGAAGCTGTAGGCTTTTCTGATGGCGGTTCACATGTGCATGATTGGAAGAGATGTCCTCGGATTTGGATGCCTTATTTTACGTTATTTATTTTATACTATCCGCCTTAATAAATTTCATTGATGCGACAAGACGTCAGCCGGATGAAAGTTCTTTCACCAATATCGTACCACTTCTAAATTGCAAACGAAACACTAATTACTGGCACCGAAAATCAATGAAAATTCTTATTTGTATGTGTCTGGTGACTTGCGGCAGTCGCAGATTAGAATTAAACCCTTTGAGGGACCACCGCTTAAGTGCAGGCGGCGCCGCACGTCGCATGCGCGGCAGTCACAGGCAGGCAGCATCTGCATGTCTCGGTGTCAACCTGCCTTCCCACGAGACGAGACGCCACCATCACAGTAACTGAGTGAGATCTGACATTTGCGCCCTGCTTGGTTATGAAACCGTACCATATGGTCCTCAAAGGATTAACAAGACCACTAAGAGGACACAGGAAAGGCCCCAATTGTGCACTACTAACGCTCGTTCCACCACAAAATTAGTCGTGGTTCGAGGTCCACTCCATTTAGGTCAGATTTCAAGCTTCGTCGTATTTCACCGTTCTTGTGGGTTTCCTTGGATTATCGCTATTGGTATTACGTCGTAACATCTAAATTTCCTCTCTAGAGATCTTCCATCAATCACTTGACTTAAGTACGCTTGTTCAACTGAGGCACCGTGGCCGAGTGGTTATGATGTTGGTCACGGATGTGATGCCCATCATCACGTGCGTGGCCGAGCTCCATCCCCTCCCCCGCTTCTCTCCAGCAGTTAAACAGCAAGGTCCTATGGAATGCCACATTAATGCTATCCTCGAGATTGCAAAGAGACTAGCTCAACTAGTATACCACGCCGTGCAAGAAAAGAGAAAAACGAATCAAATGCTAAAAGTTCTGGGATCCACACAGTGAAAAAAACACTGTGAGACGGATCAGATAAAAAAGTTGTCAACTATAGAAATTGTTTTATCTATTTTATCTAGTAGCCAACCCATGTCCTTAAAACCTTTATCTCTTCCCAATGTCCGTTCGAAATCGCGTCAGTGCTAGTACCAGAAAACAACTCGGTTTCGATTGAATGCATTCGAAGACTCTGTCTCGATATACACAATAAACATGTACATGTATATATATAATGTATATATATACATATATATATGTATATATATATGTATATATATACATATATTGTACTGTATCTAAACGAACGAACCTCTACAACTTTACCCGCCAGGGTCTCAACGTTCGCCCATCGAGGGTCACTTTGAACACCTTCGTTCCCGAGCCTCATCTTCCACGACATTCACATCCTCAAAGAAATGACTCAGAAAACTTACTAGCTATAGTTATATACCAAATCCTCATATTACTATTAGATCACTGAGATACACCCTAGACACTAAAGTAGTTTAGAATATCCAACTGTGAAGAATATGGCATGGACTAGAAGTTGTCATAGTACGGAATGAAGCACCATGAAATTCTAGCGATTCAGTCTACAACGGTAGGTCAACCGAAAAAAAGAAATTGAGCTCAGTGCTTGAATCATAGAGTCGAAAATTGAACATATCTCATAGATCCGACAACTTGATTAAACCTTTATAAGGTCTGTTATAGAGATATAAGGTGCTAGACACGTGTTTCCGCCTTTCAACTTCATCAGTATCAAGGTGCCTTTTGGTCCTGTCAGTCTCCTTGTAAGGGCATATATCCTACATGTAAAGGGAATCGACGTCTAATTATGTACACTGTGCGTAAGGTGAAAGGACCATTGTGGCGTTCCTGCAGAGCCGTTGGCCAAGCAAACGAAGTCGACAATCAATCACTCTGAAAGAACGCCACAGTGATCCTTTCACAGTACGCAAGTCTAAATAATTCGGCGTCGATCCCTTCATATGTAGGGAGAGGGTATGTTCCTTTACAAAGAATTGACTAAAGCGAAAGGCACCGTGCTGACTAATGAGTTGACAAGGTCGATACACGTGCCTAGCTCTTCATAACTGTCATAACAATCCCTTAAGAAAGACTTGTGAGGATGCCTTAGTTTTAGGCGAGGTCTCAAAACAGATGGTTGAGAGTGTTTCTATACCTTATAGAACCGCTTTCGTTTAGTGAGCGCTGACGAAGACCGAAGCAGAGGTGAGTCGTCGTGTGATGATCCTTATGAGCATAGTAACTACAACATCTGTTCTATACAGAAGCATTTCTTTAATATTATGGAAGAAGAATTGTTCGTCAAGGAGATACGGCTAGCAAATCAATAGGTAGAAATGCTTGTCATAGACTTTGAATCTGCTGAATGAGACGAACAAAATAGGCAATCACCAGGAAGAAAAGACTGTCGGATACTCTTAGGTCGTTCCATAAGTTTTGGCACTCGATCAGTAAACACCGATTTTATTGACCAGAAGTAATTGAAATAGCTGATTTCGGTATCGCTCAATTGCGCATTTCTTGCGAGCCTGTCTATCGTACAACATGTCTATACTTGCTTTAACATGGAGCTGTCCTGGGAACAAATTCACCTCTTAGTCAGGCACGAATGGCACGTAGGGGGAAAATCCTAGCGAAGCGGCGCGCGAGAATAAATGAAGCTTGGGGACGACGATAGGGTCGCAGAGAGGACGGCTAGGAAGTGGTTCGCGAAGTTCGAAGCTGGAGAGAACAGTCTGGAGGATCAGTCGCGCTCGTGGGGGCGTCTACAAGAAAACCTAATAATCTTACGCGCCGCTCCATTACCACTTTTCTCTACAAGCCATTCGTGCATGCGTGGCAGGTGAATTTGTTCGCAGAGAGCTCCATGTTAAAGCAAGCATAGGCAAGTTGTATACCAAAATGTTTGCAAGAAAATGCGCTTATGAACGTTACCAAATTCATGGAACTTTGATAACTTTTGATTACTAAATTTGGTGTTTATTGCTCTTGTGCCAAAACTTATTGAACAACCTAATAGACCTGATAATTAGTGGTTTCGTCTGTTAAGGCGTTCCGAGTGCTAGCGATATTATTTACTAAATAAAAATAAAAGGATAAAGCTCTCAGCGTTGATCAATCCCTGAGGGATGCGCCATGCATTCAACTTCAATTTTTAACTTCGTTTGAGGTGATTGATGCATATCTGGCATTTACAAAGACTCGCGGAGGCCTCCCGCTGAACCGAGTCAGTGCTGCTTATCCCCCAGACAAGTCTGAGACCTCTCTGGTACCAATTTACCGACCCCGGAGGTATGGATGGCTTGGTGAGCCATGAGCGCGAGATCGAACCACTGACCTCGTGTACGAGGTAGGGCACCTCTAACCACTGCGCCACATGCGCTCTATTTACTAAATAGTAGCGAAGAAATAAAACAACATAGTTGGTAATGCAGCATGAATATTGCAAACAGTCGTGGTGGGCTAAAGTCACAGGCGGGTCGCCTTCTTCAGAGCCTGAAAAGATCAAACTGATCCACAATCCACTGAGCCAAACCTCCATAACCCCAGCAGAAAACGTAGGAAATGAGTTCTTGCATCGCATAATAAGAGCTTCATTTTAAAACACTCACCGTTTGATGTTTTAGGCGACCGGCCGAAACGTTAGGCACCGCGATTACTGGAATAATCAGGCTGTATTAGTAACTAAATTGTCGTATTGCTTCGCTAATATTCACGAAATAACATCGTGGCGCAGTGGTTAGAGGTGCCCTGCGTATGCACACGAGGTCACTGGCTTCAATCTCGCGCTCATGGCTCACCAAGCCATCCATCCCTCCGGGGTCGGTAAATTGGTACCAAACAGGTCTCAGACTTGTCTGGGTAGGATAAGCAGCACTGACTCGGTTCAGCGGGAGGCCACCGCGAGTCATTGTAAAGGCCAGATGTGCATTCATTCACCTCAAACGAAGTTAAAGATTGAAGTCGAATGCATGGCGCATCCCTCAGGGATTGATCAACGCCGAGAGCTTTATGCCGAGGCGAATAGAGCCTGGGACCTGATAATTGGCACTAATGATGTCGAGTGATGTGCTAAAACATTTGCGTCGAGCGGGACTCGAGCTCGCATGTCACCCTGACCAGGGGCTTGTGCTCTATCCCTTGCACTACCGACGCCTGTTTTTCCACCACGCTTTCTACCCCACAACACATCTATCTGTCAGCAACCAACCGTCAACGGTTTGGCCCAGGTAGTCTCTATGGACATTGAACCAAGTCACGCTGACAGACTATCAGGTAACCATAAAATGAAGCGATTGCCACAAAATACATTTGTAACCAAAACTAAGTCAATTGAAAATCACAACCTGCGCCAGATGGTGGATGGATCAAACTGAATTCTTTTTGGGCGTCAGTAGCGTAACGGACTAGAGCACGCATTCTCGGAAAGAGTGAGGTGCAGGTTCTAGTCCCGCCTGGTGCTAAAGTTTTGCACATCACTCTATAACATTGGGATATATTCATAACATCATACTATCGCTAAAAGCGGCTAATAAAATGAATTTCCAAATGTGAGTAATCAATTCATACTGTCTCTCACTTGTCATACTACCAAATATATACCCAAATGGATGGGAAAGAGAAGCTGAACATGAGGTATTTGGACCTCGGACCCACCACTGGATAAGCTCACAAAGCAGTCCCAAAGGACGCTGAGTGGTATGCCAAACTCTTAGACCTAGCGCGAAGTCGAACCTGCTCTTCACCCCTGCCGAGAGGTGCATTCTACCACTACTCCACTCCGGCCACCGCCACGTTAGCACTCTTTCTTCAAGTAACACATACTACGACAACAAAGTAAGACACATACTATGAAAGATATCCGAATAACCAGTGGTCCGATCTTGGCCCAAAAAAGCAAGCCCTTTACGATTACACGGCTAGCAAATTGGTGCTGGACAAACCTATGATTGTAAAGATTTCGACATGGAACATGGTTCTTTTGATCATAAGGGTACAAACGAAAAAATCGACCTCATTCACTTGACAGAAACTCTCCCTAGGAGTGTTTAGTAACCCTTCGAAAGCTGAGATTTCTGACTGCATCCCCACGTCGCTGAGGTGTTCGGAAAGCCTTTTTGACATTGTTACAGAAGGAAATCCCCTGCGTTGCAGATGCGCGTATTTCTCACCGGACAGGGCCCTTTCTTTAGACTATTAGTGATAATTTTATTTGATTTTACAGCACTACAAAAGGTGTGTTTTGAAAAACCAGCGACGTGGGAGCTGTAGCCGAGAAATCTTAGCCTTCGAATGGTTACTAACAATCCTAAGAAAAGTCGCTGTTGACCGGATGACGTCGGTTTCTCGTTTGTCCCCCTATAACAAAAAGGATCTGGAACACTAGTCGGGCCGTTGGGGCATCATTGTCTGCTCTGAACGTGGGTTCAACTTCCCCCTCTACGATACTTTGACGGAGTTGAAGGTATGGGCACTTTCCGGACAGATCAACGCCGAGTGCCCAAATCAGAACTCCTTCTGCAATTACTATTGACAAAGACAGTTTTCATCTTCCCATCTCGATGAAACGACACCACTATGCTCAAACACTTCCTATATAGATCGACTAGGCACGAGATCTATTTCACTTGGCTTTCATTTCATACGACCCCTCTTCACACTTTTATTGTCTTGCTTGGGGATTTCGTCTTCTTCGTGAACGTCGTAGAAGACTGGTCAAACATAGTCCCGGTAATCTCGAGGATAGCCCAACCATCGCTAACCACTCGGCCATCTCCTCTCTTCCCAGAATGAGGGTAACCAGCCCATATAATAAAGATAGCCAATCCTCGTAGTATTTACAACTTTGCAAACCGACCCTCACCTGCCGGAAAAGCATTTCGACATGGAGCAACTAATAGCTTATGACCATCCCTCTTTTCGAAGGAACTCGTGAATAAACCCCAACCGCGTTGTACATACTGTTTTGCCAAGATCTACGAGAATCTTTAGGTAGGATGTTTAAGAAATCTACTTCCTCCGTTAACTACTTCAGTAGGCGATACACACGCCCCACACCGGGTCTCGCAACGAAAAGTAGCAGTAGTCGGCGGCTCAGCGCGGCAGAGGAGGTGGTACCGTTCGGACACGCCCATGGGTCCATGGAAGTCGACCATTACAAGCTGATAGTGGCCAGAGCCAAATTCCTCCATTAATGCTCGCTAAATTACGTCCATACTGGACTTGTTGGTTTAGAATTCATATATTCAAACTAAGTTTTAAGCATTGAGAGAAGATGGAAACATGGTAGAGCCTGAAGGCGATGAGGACAATCAAAAATAACAATAACTTCTCCAGTCTAATTCATTTCTGCGCCTAAAATAGAACATCATACAAAAGGGATAGTGCCCTAAAGAATGCTGAACAACATGAGAGTCTTCAAAGTACTGTATGAACAACATGCTAGAACTAAGACGACCGATATCCACTGTTCACATATGAAAACGACAAATACATACAAAATCTCATCAGAAATACTCTTGATCAGTCGTTCTTCTTCGCTCCTGGAGCGTCTTCCAGGTCCTTATACTGGGGAAAAGCAGCAGGTTTGTCTTTGGCTTGACTCGTACCGCTTGTGGCAATATGAGGTGCTCGTTGCTCTGTTGTCTGATTCTGTGCTAGCTGGGCCTAAACGGTCACAATTCATTTCGTACATGTATAAAAGTCAAAAAAGTTCTTTCGCAAGAAGAATTATCTAATTTACACTGCACATACGTGCCATTTAACTTCACAAGCACAAGCTTGCTATGCAGAAGCAATAAAGGACCTTCCTTTCTTCATATACTGTGATTTGCCAATCTTTCCAATACTTTGACTCTCTTCAGCATGGCTCCTTATTTCCACGCTAGCTCTCACACAATCCTTTATAACATACCAATCGTCCGTCGTGATCTACTACCGAATTTTCTACCAGTTATTGACTGCCTTGTTTATACCTTTCTATTCGATACCCTCCATTTCTCTACTACAAGATGCCTTTTCAACTGTGCATTCCATTTCACTTATCCTTATGCCTGACAATAAAACGAACGAACAAAAAGACCAAATAAACATAAGAAGCACAGCACAGGTCCCTAATGTATGTTGTTCATACCTCGAAGATGAAGAAACAACACTGAAGGTTTCCATTTCTGCTGTTCCCAAGAACATTCCACATCCACATTCAAGGGGAAGCGTTTGGTGGGAATGTGCCATTGAGGAGGAAATATTCCCATCACTACTAATTGATACAATCGCAGTAAAACTACCTCAAAAATCTTGTCTTTACTAGAAATTATTAGAAAAAGTTAAAGGGCATCAGGTTCTTTTCTGTTAGCGGGAAATAAATGAATAAACGACCCCTTTCACTGGACAAAATTTCCCAAGACTGTTATCAATTCA